TCATCAGATATACAGACAGCTACACGCGTCCCCAAGAGCATCTACAATTTGTTAATGATGATGGTTTTGAGGATGATGGAGGAATCATATTTTCTGATGCAGAGATACGGTATTGGATGGTCAATAACCTAGATCTCACATCACCATCTAAAAGTGGCAATACAGCTTAGACGATTTGATGAAGGAAGATGATCCAGATGCAATCACTCTACCCCGATCGACGATTGGATCGGCAGTGCCATTAGAATCTAGATGCAGCTTTCCAGAAAGCTACGAAAAGTTCAGATACCACATCTGCCCAACTTTCAAGCCAAGAAGTTCTCCACGATAACATGGACTCCTTCTACAAGGCCCAGGACATCGATGAGAACTATAAGATCATCAGCATGTAAAGAACAAGATTTACAAGATGGATGATCGCAGTTGGCTCATATAGAAACCATGACGAGATCGATGTTCTTTGGGTTAAATAGATCTAGGGCGATCAATGAGACTCTTATTACTAGATTCCGGGATTCCACGATGACGGAAGATGATAGAATGATTTATTCTGCCTTACTTATGCAAAAGAAAGATCAGCAGTTTTAACGGATCATCTTACATCTGTTTCAGCAGCACTGACCTTAGCTCGTCGCCAAGGCCTCCTCGCCTCCTGTAATTGGGGAGAACTTTACAGCCCCACTTTATATACAGCCCCGCGGGTCGACAACATCCATCTTTGACGGAGAAATCGACAAAGTCGCCAAGGAAGTCTCTAAGGATTCCAGGGAAGTCCTTATGATTAGATCGATGGACACACTAGCCAGCGCCATTCGTCAGACTTCACAGAGATACTCAGGCAGATCTAAGTTCACGGGCCTACAAAGAGCAAGAGACAGGAAGATAGCCAGCTCTAGAGGTAAAGATTCTTTTCAGCCCCCATACGGCAACTATAGAGGAGGATCAGGAAGAGGCAGGACACCCAGAGGTTCCCTTGCAATTATAGACGCTGAAACACAGGTTCGAACGACTGGAGTCTTCCACCCCCAGCCGCTCCAGTACAGCCAGCTCAAGTGGGTGGACGCTTCCAACTACACTGGGAAAACTGGGGAATATTGCAAGACCTTTACGCTCCTACAACATTCTTCAACACGGATTTCGTGATCTCTCTACAGGTTAAGCCTCCGCTGACAATCAAACCCCCAAGTTCGATTTACAAGCAACAACTACCAAAGATAAGAGAGGCTGTTTCATCACTCCTATCCAAACAGGCCATAGAAGTAATAGATCAAGCAAACGCCGAACCAGGTTTCTACTCCCCAGTTTTCCTAGTTCCCAAGAAAACTCCACGGAGAAATACAGACTCATCTACAACATGAGCTTTTTCAACAAGAACTATCTACGAAACCACCGGGTTTCGCATGATACATTTACCTCAGTTACGCCAGATGATTCGTCCTATGGACTACATGGGCAGCATAGATCTACAGGATGCCTACCTGCACATCCCCATTCATCCCGATTCCAGGAAATACCTACGATTTACTCTAGAAGGGCTACATTACCAGTGGAAAGTACTCCCATTCGAATATCATCAGCCCCTGGCTATTCAATGAGGATAACGAAACCGATTATCAAATTTCTACATCGTCAAGGGCTACGCAGTCGCTTTACCTCGACGGCGGGATACAAGTAGATCAAGATCCACTCGCGCCTCTCAAACTACAGTTAAATTACATCATAAAGCTACTAACACAACTAGGGTTGGTTAGTAAACTTGCATAAGTCGGACCTAGTACCATCGCAGAAGACCTGCAGTTCCTAGGTATTCGATTCATCACAAATCGCAACCGTGATTTTGGTACCAGAAGACCGTTGGCTCAAGATACAGCAGACCATTCCACCAGCTCTACTCTCCGTTACCACTGCGACAATGGCAGAGCCTACTAGGTCTTCTCACATCAGCCCAAGACATGACTGTCACAGGCAGATTACAGTTACGCCCCTACAGGTCTCATCATCAACGACATCTCAACGATGTACAACCATTCAGTCTACCAAACATCTCAGACCGCATCTACTATGGTGGACCAAGAAATCGAATGTCTGCGAAGGGATTTGTTTAGCAGAGCAGGAATACAAAACCCATCTGTATGTAGACGCCACCACCAAGGTTGGGGAGCTCATCTCACCAACCACACGATATCAGGGTTATGGAATCAGCAAGAATGCAAACTCCATATAAACAGTCTAGAAATGAAAGCTGTAATCAACGCCATTCTACATTGGAGCACATTTCTACAAATGCGCCTTAATGATCCATACAGACAATTCGACAGTGGCGCTTCTACATAAACAAGCAAGGCTCAACGAGATCGATGAACCTTTTGAACCTAAGCTTTCAACTGTTCGATTTAATACAAGATCTAAATCTACATGTCAGAGCAGTGCACATTCGGAGCCAGAAATATACTAGCAGACGCCTCTCGGCCTCATCTACCATCACCGACAGAGTGGATGATCAACAGGGAAATTTTTGCACAGATAATCAAGCAATTAGGAGCGCTAATAGACCTATTCGCCACGCGATTCAACAATCAGCTACCAACATTCGTGTCACCAGTCCCAGACCCCAAGCTTGGGCAACGGACGCTAAGTCTATCATGGAAGGCCTCAATGCGTGCGCTAGCTTCCGCCACCGCCAGCAATAATACCTCAAGTATTACAGAAAATCAGACAAACACAGAGCCTACAACTCACTTTGGTAGCCCTACTGGCGGCCAGAACGTGGTTTCCCATACTAATTCAAGAAATCGGTCAACCAACACTGGAGCTACCTGCGCCAAAAACCTGTTAATTCATCCTCACACCAAACAAGTGCACGGAAACCCAGCAATGTTCCAACTACACGTATGGACTGTATACAAATGTGTTTAAACAAGAGAGGATATTCTGCCAGGGCGGCAAAAGCAGTCACGCTTTGCTTACGTTACTCAACTCGTAATCCTTGTACGGCGACAAGTGGCACAGTTTCAAAATTATGCAACAAAGAAAGGGTTTACAGCAAGAGAGGCTTCACAACCTCAAGTGGCAGACTATTTGTGTTACCTACCCAAAACAAACAATTAAAGGTTCAACGATATCAACATATCTTGCGCGCTTTAGTTCTGTAATCACCATGAGAACGGGTGTCAAATTGACAAGATCTCCAGAGTTACTGGCCTTACTACGAAGCTTTCGATTGGAGGACCAAAAGCGAAGTTCCACGCCCAGCTTGGGATCTGAATGTAGTGTTACAACTCCTCACGAGTGAGGTCTATGAACCTTTGGAATCGACAAACTTTGAATTTCTCTCACAGAAAACACTGTTTCTGCTATCGCTAGCCACAGCAGCAAGAATGTCTGAAATTCACGCTTCTGGATTACGAGAGGATACAGTTTGATGACAATCATAACACAGCCGCACTCGGATTAAGATGGGATTTCATCGCGAAAAATCAACTGCCAGGTCAACCAGACAGATTATTCCACATCCCGGGCGCTTATCCTCTATTCTCGGATCAGAAGATACACAAGACCTATCACTGTGTCCGGTAAGAGCTTCAAAGTTTATTTACGACGATCCAAAACAAGGAGAAGATTTCCTCAAACGCTTATTCATCCCCTTATCGCCTACCGTAATCAAACAGAAGTGTCACGGACCACAATATCTATTTGGATAAGGACTGTCATTCTCCGTGCCTACAAGGCAGCAGGCTTGAACCCACCAACAGCATCAAATCCACATGAGATCAGGGCACTGGCCTCTACCTCGCCTCTACACGTAACTGTTCCTTGAACACGCATTATGGAAGGATGCTATTGGAAATCTAACATGGTATTTGCTAATCACTACCTGAGAGACATCACTACAGAAGATGTCTCTGGCATTCACCATTTCTGACCACTGGTCCTCGCTCAGCAACTGACAGTCCCTCGTAGGCTTAAAATATTATCCTCACAAGATTAATATGTATTTTATACATACTCATCTAGCTTATAACTCTCACGGAGTTTTAGGGCTATGTATATATGTTCAGCTTAAGTATTCAACCTTAAGCATATACTTTGGTATAGTCAATTTCAGTGCCTCTATCAGAGTCACCTATATATATATATATATTTATATGTATTGTTCAATATATTCATAATGTAATTCCCCTTTAATGGCTTTTATATAACCTATGGTTTCTTTATACAGGAAACATCCTAAATCTAAGCCTTCATGAAGTTCCCCGTGATATTACAGTATATCTATACAAAATCACTAATTATAAATCCAAAGTATTATGTTACCCACCTCCGTTCAGTAGGATGCTACAAGAAAAGAGCATGAGTCAGGATAAGGAAAAATATGTAATTTTTAGAGTAAAATTGATATTTTATACTTATCCTGACTCATGAGGTTAGCCCTCCCATCCTCCCCACATAACACTTTGGATTTCCCTGTAAATTCAAGTGTTGGGCTCGCTAAATCAGGAGAGAGTGGAGCACATGGCCAGAGGGTGGCGACACCTTTCCCGCCAGGGGAAGCAAAGGGGAGCAACTCGTGGTGAGTACCAATTAGTGATTTTATTTTGAAGGGAGCTTCAAATAAGGAGATACAAGTGTTCCACTATGTTCGCAAGAAGAAGAAGACAAGCAAAAGAGCATGAGTCAGGATAAGTATAAAATATCAATTTTACTCTAAAAATTACATTAATAATAATAATAATAATCCGAACGATTACAATAGGTCTCCTGCCTAGAGGCAAGGAGCCCTAATAACTACCCTTTGATGATTCGGGGGATTTTCCCCTCACCAATATTATTGTCAAAAGATGGTGTTTGTGTGGTCAAACAGTTTGCGGGATGATAAAAGTGGATAGCATGATTTTAGTTATGAGCTGGCTCTTTTAGTGTCATTTCAGACTCAGTTATTGGAGATGGATTTCACCCACGTATAGTGTACGTGTTCATTTACTCAGTTACTGTTACTTTAGGCACTGCGGGAAGAACTGGTGCGACAGCGCACATCAGTTTTCAGTGCTGGGAGAGACCCAAGCATAGAGAGGATGCAGCAAGATGTTGATATTATACAGGAACTGGAAGAGAAAGTAGTCAGGTGAGTGGGAGGTTATACCTGAGCATGGGTAGGGTTGGATGGCAGAGCTGCACATGGAAAAGATGCAGCAAGACTTAAGCCAGGTGTTTGGGAAGGAGAGGTCCAAGCAATGTGAGGATTCAGCAGACCTGATGAAGCAAACTCTATGTGGATTGTAACCTTACATTCATCCTTGTTTGTTTGTTGTCTGTTTGCACTCAGCAATATTCAGTGGTCTGTAAATAATCGAGTCTGGACCAGACATTCCAGTGACTGACATCGTGAGCATCGATCTACGCAATTTGAATACAAGTAAGCGAGTCTGACCACCCGATGCTGTTAGTCGCCTCTTACGACAAGCACTGGTTGCTGAAGACCAATTCTAACCTGGATCTTCACGGGTGACACTCATCTTTATCATGCATACACTCACCGCCATATAGCTGGGATATTGCTGAGTGTGGCGTAAAACTCACTCACTCAGTCACCTCACTCACCTCACTCACAGATAAACTACTGTTCCAGAGTTAAACGAAACAAACTCCCAACAAGTTCACCAGCTAGATGAGCTGATTGTTTCTGACCATGTTTGTGAGATGGCTGTGGTGTTTTCAGATTACAGACAGAGTGTTCCCACTACCGCATGGTTTCGGAGGAAGCCTACAAGCAGCTGATTGAGATAAAGGAGAGAGAGATGTTGTCCAAGAGTCAAGACATCAGGCTAAAGGACTGGCTGGATCTCATGGAAGAGGTAGAGTTTGCAACATTTGTCTGAAGCAGATAGTCTTAAACATGTGAATTATTAGTCATCCCATGGACATTTCAGGGGCAGAATAGATCATCTGTACCCAACCCTATGTTTTCCTGGGGCACTGAATGTCCTTGGTAATCTTAGTGGGGATTCTTGGGCACTGTAGATCCTCAGAACCTCTCATGATGGGGATTCTGGGGCACAGTAGGTCCCCAGTACCTCACCTGATGGGGATTCTGGGGCACAGTAGGTCTCCCAGTGCCTCATCTGGTGGACCCATGGGTATTCTGGGGCACAGTAGGTGCTGAATACCCACCTGGTGGGGATTCTTGAACACAGTATGTCCCTCAATACCCTCACCTGGTGGGGGATTCTGGGGCACAGTAGGTTCCCCAGCACCTCACTCTAGTGGGGATTCCAGGACACAGTAGGTTCCCAGTACCTCACCTGGTGGGGATTCTGGGCACAGCAGGTTCCCAGCACCTCACTTAGTGGGGATTCCAGGACACAGTAGGGTCCTCAGTACCTCACCTGGTGGGGATTCTGGGGCACAGTAGGTTCCCAGTACCTCACCTGGTGGGGATTCTGGGGCACAGTAGGTCCTCAGTACCTCACCTGGTGGGGATTCTGGGGCTCAGTAGGTCCCCAGTACCTCACCTGGTGGGGATTCCAGGGAACAGTAGGTCCTGAGTACCTACCTGGTGGGGATTCCAGGGAACAGTAGGTCCTGAGTACCTAACCTAGTGGTTATTAAAGAACACACTAGGTCTCCAGTTTCCTTCTTGTCAGGCATTTCCAGTCTCTCTGGTAGGGTTTACAGGGCACAGAACATCCTCAGTACTTCTGTAGAAGAGTACAGGGTACAGTAGGTCCCCATTATATTGGCTGGTGTGATTCCTTAGCCGGTATTACACCATTCTTGTAGTCAAAGAACATTTGTGAAAGAGGATCAGATTGTCACAAGTGGGCCCTTGTCCATGTTGTCTAAGGTTTCCTGAACTGAGTATTTCACCTGTGAAGGTCCAGGTTAGAATGTACCTTCAGTAATCCATGCTTGTCGAAGAGGTGACTAACGGGATTGGTGGTCAGGCTCGCTGACTTGGTTGACACATGTCATCGGTTCCCCATTGCGCAGATCGATGCTCATGCTGTTGATCACTGGATTGTCTGGTCCAGACTCGATTATTTACAGACATCCGCCATATAGCTGGAATATTGCTGAGTGCAGCATAAAACTAAACTCACTCACTCACTCACTCACTCACTCACTGAACTGAGTATTTACAAGTCACCTTGTCGTGACCAGATTACTGCTGACTAGAGCATTCTCTCATTCCCTTGTTTAACCTGGCTGATTGTGTATATTGATTCTGATGTTTGAGCTTTAATGATATGGTACTCACCTCATCTTTCCAGATAAAAAACAGAGTTCCCTCTACATTATCTAGAGAAAGCATGGAGAACCAGACCATTAGAGATTTGGAGAGTGAACTTAGAAAGGTAAATATGCTCAGACTGAATCCTGGTAATGTCAGATGGACTGAACCTACATAACCTGGACACCTTTTCCTTCATATATTCTTTTTTCTTCATTTTCTCTCTTAAAATGTCGGGGCGGCGGGGTTGCCTAGTGGTTAAAGTGTTCGCTCGTCACGGCGAAGACCCGGGTTTGATTCCCCACATGGATACAATGTGTGAAGCCCATTTCTGGTGTCCCCCCACGGTGATATTGCTGGAATATTGCTAAAAGCGGCTTAAAACTAAACTTACTCACTCTTAAAATGTTAATGTGTAATTTATAGAATAATCTACTTAAGACTCAGATTTATGGAAATCTGTCCCTAATTGAATGAATGTTGTAAGTCGCTTGCCAATGGATTAGGATTAACACCATTTATTCATCTGGGAAAGATAATCTGTTATTCCTCAGCGATCATTATTTATTTTCCTAAGTATTTTGTTGTCCAGAGGACAGTTTGTCCTGTATTGAGGCACAAAATTCTATTCTCTTTTGTCCATACATCCATGAAAGAGACTGGCTTTTCTAGTTCAATAATGTCTTGTGTTTACTCAGTGTCGTGACGATCTCAGAAGTGATGAAGATATCTTTGCTGAGAAGACGCGAGAAGTAAACCACCTGGCAGAGAGAATCGAAGAACTGGTAGGTTGCTGATGCAGAATCATGTCAGTCACCTGCCCCGCCCACAAGATTTTTATGTGTCCTTGTTCATGGTCTCTGAGGGGCGGTGGGGCAGCCTAGTGGTTAAGGCGTTGGCTCGTCACGCCAAAGACCCGGGTTCGAATCCCCACATGGGTAAAATGTGTGAAGCCCATTTCTGGTGTCCCCCGCCGTGATGTTGCTGGAATATTACTAAAAGTGGCGTAAAACCAAACTCAGTCAGTCATGGTCTCTGAAAGTAAGCTAAGACTGAATCCATGCATGGTTTTATATTGATAAAATAATAGCAGAAATTTTGGGTAAAAATCTTTAATTTGCCCCAGTATAAGTAAAATGCTCAATGCAACTCACTCTTCACTGATATGGGTCATGGTTGATCCCAGTCACCATCAGAATCTTAGTTCATTATAAAGAGTTGCTTCCCTTAGGCATGCAAGGAACCTCTGATCAAGGTACAGTGAAACCTGCCAACACCAGCACCTGTCTAATCCGGGCCCATGTCAGAACGGCATAAAATTTTGGTCCCGCCATTGTACAACGATATTATGATCATTAAATGGCACGTCATGACTTTCTGGTGCAACAAGCAATTTTAATTGTAATTAACACTGTCTAAACCGGCATGGGTATGAGCAGTCAATCAAGGACCCATAATCCAATACACTAATTAATCCTCTTGGCATGCTGGACAATCAGGAAGTAGTGATCACGCGGTGAATCAAACGCTCGTAGGATTTATCACTGGAGGATTGCATTAACTGTTTTCAAGTGAGTGACATGTGTCAGAGAGTAGATAAATAGGCATCGGTTTTATTGACTCGTCAGTCACTTTGTGTGTCATGATGGCATGAAATGATCGTCACTGTCTAATCCAGCATTTTATTTCGGTCTTGTGGGGGGTCAGGTTTAGACATGTTTCACAGTATTTGATTCCTGGTTTACCCTGAGGTTATTGTTAGTTTGTTAACACCATCCTCATGCTCTAGGGTTTAGACAGTGCGGTAAACTGGATATGACCTGCTTCACATAGGTGTTTCTGCCATATAAAGTGGACCACATGGTATAACTGAAATATTGTTTGAAAACAGCCTTGAGTCTTGCTCGCCACTCATGATGGTGTACAACTTGCAGGAGAAGGAAGTGGCCGAGGGCAATGCAGCACTCAAGTCCTCCTTCGAGACGCATGCCAGCCCAGGAACAGAACATGCTGGAGCAGCAGCTGAAGATCGAGGAACTGCAGAGAGCTCTCAAAGTAAGGATGTCAAATGTGACATGATCACATGGTGTACTAACCAGTGTTAACCTTACCTCACTTCTTTCTTGTCTCATCTCTACAGGATTCCTGATACCCGTGAAGGTCCGGGTTAGAATATTGATCTTCAGTAACCCATGCTTGTCGAAGAGGCGCACTCACGGGATCGGGTGGTCAGGCTCGCTGGCTTGGTTGACACATGTCATAGGATCCCAAATGCACAGATCGATGCTCATGCTGTTAATCACTGGATTGTCAGGTCCAGACTCGATTATTAACAGACCGCCGCCATATAGCTGGAATATAGCTGAGTGCGGTGTAAAACTAAACTCACTCACAGATTTCCTGAGGCAATGTCATTATTATGAAGGCTTTCCATAAATATTATCCATTCTTGGAATAAGGAAAAAGGAACATTGATTTCTAACTACAAGTCATGCAGTAATAGAGAAAATAGAACAATTTGAACAGAGGCAGAAACTACACCAAAATCTCAGTATCAACTAGGGGCAGTGGGGTAGCCTAGTGGTTAAAGCGTTGTCTTGTCACGCCGAAGACCCGGGTTCGAATCCCCACATGGGTACAATGTGTGAAGCCCATTTCTGGTGTCCCCCGCCGTGATGTTGCTGGAATATTGCTAAAAGCGGCGTAAAACCAAACTCAGTCAGTCAGTATCAACTATGATGTGTAATGGGATACTTCATGATACAATATTGTCAAATACACTGTTCTTGAGTAAATATTTATGCAATTATTATAATCATGATCATTTTAATACAACAAAGAATCAGAAAATAATTTTCAACAAACACCTTGGAGTGAATTGTGTTCATTTGGTGCCAAATTCATCAGCACTTATTCTTTATCAGATTCGGTGAGAAAGTTCTGAATTTTGAACAGTATTGTCTCACATACCACCAAAGCGTAGAGAGTTGAAAGAATTTTTGATATAAAACACATCTTTAATTTCATGATGCAGTCTTTGCCAAGAAGCCTACAAATCCTCATCATCAGTTTCAACAAGTTTTACTGTTGTTATAAGAACAATATTAGCCGAACTTCAAGTAAACAGTTCCGGTATTATCAGCTTTCGAAATACCTGCCTGCCTGACAGGTCGCCAGATTCTCAAATTCACCTGCCCGACGGTCGGGTCAAAATTTAGACATGTATATGAAGATATTCATCATATTTCAGGATAATAAATCATTATTAATTCACTCGTAAATATAAATGATGATTCCCAATTGGATGATAAACTACGTCCCGTGTCAAATTAAATTATTTGGCGGCAGGTAAGTTTTGGTCAGGGTTAGCAAGTGGTCTGGCTGAATGTTTTGGGAGTTTCATACCCTGATATTATGCTAAAATCACTCACCGGACAACTTGCGACACAGAATCATTAACGCTTAGCATCATTTACAGTACCTTTTACCATTTTAATATGGACAATATTCACTGTTGTTAAAACCCAGTATTTTACCAGACTCTGTCTACTGACTATTGATTACCCTTGGTAGCAGAGTGATTTTACCCTAGACAAGCAGTCCGGCTATGTTCTGTGTATTCATCTCCTGTTTAAATGTATTGCAGCCAGACATCCAGGTCATACATGATGAGGTTGATCAACAAAGTCCCCTTTTCCAAAAGAAACATTTCCAACGAGGGGTATTCATCCTTCATATGTTCATCACATAATTTTGCACATGCATATTAGTTCTTCTTGGCAACAGCACCATCTTTGTACACCTCTCTCTTAGTAGAATTAAGTGTTAGGAAAAAGTGGTCCCTTGTATCTCATGATTGTTATGAGAGACAAATCCAGTTGAGATTAGCCACGGTAGATTGTTACATGATGATAGAGACGTGGTTGATTGGTGCCATGAAAACCATTTTTATGGTTACACAAGTATCAAGTGCATATGGTTAGTTTAAAGTGGCTGTTTTCCTAAAGATGTGTTACCATATCATTATTTACCCAGTGTTAAACAATGATGGATAAATGGATACAATTTCAAATTATACATCTACGTTTAAGTAAAGTTTCGAATTTTGGTGATCCTTAGCAAAGTGTGAGTAGTATATAATGCCATGATCGCCACGAGGCATAGTAGTATGTTTGTCACGAAATGATTGATTTTACTGCGGCATGTAATGAGACATTGTCTGGTTGTGTGTCATGAACCCCAGCCAAATAGACCAATGCTCACACGATTGATCACTAGTTCCTCGTTCCAGGCTTCGGAACACTTTGTAACACATAATCTTGACATTTTAGCACACCCTAGAACAAGAGGCCATGTACCAGTACAAAATTAATTCTATGAGTCCAAAATGTTAAATGTACTGAATGTTTAGGTGCCAGAGCTCCAGATAAGATTTAGCTCATGTGGGTACTGTGCCCACTGTATTTTTTTGGAGTGGGTATTATGAATATTGAGTGGGTATTTCATTTTCCGTTACCCACTGCTTTCAAATATGTGCACATTTCAGTCATCATATTACTCACCTAAGTATATATCATTGAGTAAGTTAACTAAGCAGGTATGTTCTGCCTTATGTCATACCTAATCAAAACCAACTTAAATATAATGGAAATGATTTTATAAAAAATCACTCATCCTATACCTGACAGTACAACACTTGTCCTATACTAACAGTACAACTTGATAGCAATCAATGTCTTTTTCATTACGCAAGCGATTTTTATAAATATATTCTGTACGCATTTGTTTTAAACTTTTTTCGTATCTAACATTTTAAATGCGTAATTGGTATGCAACAATTATTTTTCAATGCGTAATTGGAAATTTTATATGCGTATTTTAGCCGGATACGCAGCTTATCTGGGCCTCTGGGTGCTATGAGGGAACTGGTTAATTTATGATTGAACAGAAGCACTGCAGACCAACACTGAACATGTTTTACATTTTTACTAGATTTTGTTCTTTAGGGGTGGTTCTTCTGGTGTCAGCACATACCATTTAAATATATGCACCTATCTTTTTTGTTGCTGTTTAAACAAGACATGATCTTGCCACTGTACCCTGTTGCCATTGAAATGCTCACATTTAATTTTGATTCATTGTTTGGGAAGTGGAAGCTACTATGTTGATATTGCACATTGACAACTAACGAATATGATTTCCGCTCCTTTTAGCTTTTTAAAAACTGTTTGTCCAGATTTTTGTCAAATTCTTCGGGCGTGTATTTGTTATAACACTACCTCAGTGAAGTATATATACTTTTACTTTTTAGGGTGAAGTCAAATCTCTGAGGGTCTGGGTTCGAATCCCAGGTGGGACTCCACCCAAAAAGTTCTTTAGTTTGAAAGTGTAATCCCAAATATAGCATATGTATCATGTAGTCTTTTACTGAAAAAAAACAATAAAATATACTCATTATTATTCAGTATCCACAATCAATATTGAATTTTCTAAACTGATATTTCAGTGTGAAGAACCAACACAAGGTTATCATGTTTATCACTAGCGACACTATTTATTATAGATTTGAGATATTTTTTTATGCTATGTGTGATTAGGCTGAATGTATAGGCCCTTTGTTTGATCTTTGAATTGCCACTAGCATTTACAGGTCACAGTGGTATAGCTGGAACACTAGCATTAAGAACTCTCACTCACTCACTCACTCACTCACTCTGTCACTGATTCATCAACAACATATCTGACCTGCTTCATTTCAGGTTTTCTGTGCACAGCTGGCAAACAGTGATGTAACTGAGCTTCTATCAAAGGGCATCTCTGACTCCTTGAACCTTCTTTGTTAAAAAGATAACTATTAACACAACAATAGAAATATAACCTTTGTATGTTAATCCCTTTCATTTAATTCACAGCAAACCATTATTATACGTTCATATTCTAATGTTTACAAAGCAATCATATATCATATTTGTTAGTTTGGTGATCCTCCTCTTTAGATAGAGACATTGATTGACATTGATTGGCAGTGGAAGAGACTCAGGGGCCGCATGTTATATATCAATGTGTTATCATGTACGGATAGTGACCATGTTGTGCTTCCACCATCACAGGAGACACTGCTAGGTTCAAGCAGCATTCTGGACAGCACTGCTGTTACGTCAAGTGCACCTCCTGTCACGGGCAGAAGACCCAAGTCTGTTCCTGCTCACGTCAATCGCAAACAGGACAATGTAAGTGAATGTTGGTATATCTGTGAAGGTGTTGGGTTATCGACCTATGTCTTGTTTCATGATGTTGTGTTAATGCTATTAGGATGACATGTGTGTGAAATTCTTAGGACTTGTATTAGTCTGACGGATGAATATAGCTGACACGGGTTAAGACAAGATGTAAAACATGAGTATTATGTTAATACCTTACACTATTTATACTATATACCTCTGTCCTACTCCACAACAAACCACATGTGACACATGTGGTCTCACCGCAGGCAAGCGAGATTGTTCAAAATTGCCTCTGTTCACCCAGCAGAAAATGGGTACCCAGTGGGATAAGTCACATGACTATTAACCTCCTAGAATTTTGAGAGATTACAAGCTTGAAATATAAGGTGAGGTGAAATTGGGTTTAACGTCGTGCTTGAGAATATTTCGCTCATATGACGACGTGCATGCGTGTGTATGTGTGTGTGCGGCTGCTTGTACTAGCCCAGACTGAAGCTGGTTTTATAGTGCTAGCCCACTGAGATACCATGCCGCAGTGAAGCATGAATACCCCACACAGACACATTATACTGACTCCGAGCCGACCAGTCCTTGTTGTACCCATTAATGCCGAGCACCAGGCAGGGACCAACAAGTACCATATTTTAACGTCTTTTGGTATGACGCGGTCAGGGATTGAACCCGCGACCTTCCACTTTCCAGGCGGACGCTCTAACCACTACACCACGGAGGCGGCCCTTGAAATATAACTGAAAATGGGATAACTAAGCTTGGCTGTTTTCCACAGTTGTAGTTCAGTGACTTTAGTGAGCATGGAAAGTCTATACCTATTGTAAGCCTATGTCACTGACTTGTGGTTGGCCAAGTTTCCATATGGTCTCCTTGCTGTACATTGTACTGTGTGTTGTTCCAGTGAATAATTTGTCATGGTTGGATAATTACATGTATTCACATTGATGTGTCCTTATAACAAGCAGCACAAATATGTCCTTCAAGAGAGTACATTATAAGTTGTTCACTGGTCACGAGGGGGCATGGGTTGATGTACCCTTAATGTTTGTTTGTGTTCCCTGAGCCCGAAGGGCAAGGGGAACATAAACAAACATCGAGGGTACATGAACCCATGGGCCCCGAGGGACCAGTGAACAACATATGTATCTTACCGAACACCTTAATGTTAATTTTGAATTGTTTGAAGCACAGGTACAAATCTTTTTGTAGCCATCGCTAGATTTTGCTGACAAGAAAAACAGATTTAGAGTTATCTCCCTTCCATCGATTTGCATTCGCAAAACATCGGTAATTTTCGTACATCATACGTGATTCAATGTTAGTCGAGATAAAGAATTTCTACCACGAAGTACCAAATGAGTTGCCATTGACAGTGGTGTACATTGAAATGTTACTCGCTTGTAAGCGGGGTACATTGAAAATAATAGAAGAGCGCTCACCCAATCAGAAAGCGACCTTCATGTGTGAGGTAAGATAAGTGTTCGTGTTCCCTCCTTTCCAGTTTTACTCAAATCTGAGGCCACCATCACGAAACATCAAGACAAGTCCTGCACTGTTTTCTCTGGAACGGGTCATGCAAAGCTTCCGGGCCCGAAGCCAGCTCTTGGTAACCAGGCTTGAGGACAGTGACGAGGTCCTGCACCAGACCTTCAGTGATGAGGAGAACCAACGGCCTGGGTCGGTATTTGACTTCAGTTAACTTTACACTATGCTGGTACTGTGACAATAGAATTGGTTAGAATTGGTCTTCAGTAACCCATGCTTGTCATAAGAGGCAACTAACAGGATCGGGTGGTCAGGCTCAGTAGTATATACAACAGGGGTACGAGATCAATTCCAACAAAAGACTCTGTAAAGCTTCATTTATGAAATAAAGCTTTTGTCAGGCCCTTATCTCTCCCCGCTATTGTATATACCATGGTTTCATAAATGAAGCTTTACAGAGTCTTTTGTTGGAATTGATCTTGTACCCCTGTTGTATATACTACTGGCTCACTTGGTTGACACATGTCATCGTATCCCAATGATACGTAGATCAATGCTCATGCTGTTGATCACTGGATTGTCTGGTCCAGGATCTAGTAATTACAGACCGCTGGCACACAGCTGGAATACTGCTGAGTGCTGTGTTAAACAAAAACCAACCAACCAACCAACCAATCCTATGCTGGTATGACATGCCTTATGAGTAGGTGATGAGGCCGTGGATTGGTTGGTGTCGTCATATCCTGATGATGTGGATCTTTGCTCACAGTATCAATCATTGGATTATCAGGTCCAGGGTTGATAATGTGCATAGTACTGGAATATTGCATGGTGCAGCATTAAACAACAAAATCCAACACATGCTCAAACACCTGTAAGGTGAGAGACTGTCATTGAATCAGAATCACAGGGTTGGATGTGGTGAACTTTTTTTGCTTGAAACATCTTTGTGAGATGAAAACAGAATTTAAGTAATTGTTAGATATGTCAGAACACCATTAACTTTGAGAAATAAATTATGAAAAAAAATCAACTTTGAATTATGAATGTTTCCAACTGCAGAACTGGAGATAACTCCTTTGTCCGTCGAGGAACGTTCCGTGTAAAGAAGGGGTCAAGGAATGATGAAGACAAGGAGAACCGGTTGTCTGTAGACGACATGCCAGAAGTCAGGAGGAGCAAGCCAGGTAGGGACATTGACCTCCAGGTCTAGAGAGTCTCAATCCACTGGATGATGATGTCTCTGTCTCGATGATGATGCTTCTCAAAACTGAACCTGATTTGTTATACTGTTTCTTTTCGTTTTGACTTTGAGATGTCACAAAACATGGAGTGATGTGTGTGGCTGTCTCTGTCTGGAAGATGATGCTTCTCAAAACTGAACCTGATTTGTTATACTGTTTCTTTCGTTTTGACTTTGAGATGTCACAAAAACATGGAGTGATGTGTGTGGCTGTCTCTGTCTGGAAGATGATGCTTCTCAAAACTGAACCTGATTTGTTAATACTGTTTCTTTTCGTTTTGACTTTGAGATGTCACAAAACATGGAGTGATGTGTGTGGCTGTCTCTGTCTGGAAGATGATGCTTCTCAAAACTGAACCTGATTTGCTAATACTGTTTCTTTTGTTTTGACTTTTGAGATGTCACAAACATGGAGTGATGTGTGTGGCTATGTCTCAGCTTTACTCACTCTTAAAACTTCATTGGGAAATTACAGGTTAGATTAAGTCCCCAGCAACTAATGCTGACACAAGAATTAACCAAGCAGAGTGGGTAGTGAGGCTTTAGCGAATCTGGTTGACGGCATGTCATGCCCCACATCATGCAACCAAGCAAATTAATGAGGAGACATCATCAAAATATATCTGGGCGGTGGGGTAGCCCAGTGGTTAAAGCGTTTGCACGTCACGCTGAAGCCTCAGGTTCGATTCCCCACATGGGTACAATGTGTGAAGCCCATTTCTGGTGGTATTTCTTGAATGTAAAAGCGGTGTAAAATTAAACTCACTCACACCATGTAATCATCAATCCAATTACTATCACTTGAAGCAGACAAGTCTCATAAGACTTTTGTTCTGAGGATTGGATATGTGTTTGGCTTTCTCTGAGTTACATGTCATCTAAATCTTTTCTTGTCAGTGTCCGATGTGCGATCCAGCACCAGGCTGATGAGAAGTCAAGATATGTCGGAGAGTGACGGCACAGGGAGCCGCCTCATCAACATTGACAACCGCAGCAGCACTGAAATACATCGAAAGAAGATCAAGCAGACGCAGCTGAAAGTGTTGGAGGCAAACCAGAAAATGAGAGACCTAGCCATCAACATCAGGTAGGTGTTCTAAACCTCACTGTACACCAGTAGGATTCCAGGGTCAAATCTGTCACAAATATGTCCACAGTAACACATAGATGGCTAAGGATGACTATACTAAAAAGTGAAAATAGATTTCAACATATTTCACGTTACTTGAGAGTGGTTTCATATTTTTGCTTGGATTACTAACAAAACAAAAGGCATAACCTTTGTGGTGGCGCATGGTCCTGTGCGTAGAGTAGAGCTCAGGTCACAATCAGTTGAAGTTAAGCAACGGTGGTCGCGGACAGTCCTCGGATGGGTGACCGTGTTTGGCAGCCTGACTCCTGAGAGTTTCTAGGACTTCAGTCCTGCCCCACAACGAAGCACATGTGACGCATTTTGTCTCACCTTAGGCAAGTGAGTTTGTTCAAAATTGCCTCTGTCCACCCAGCAGTAAAATTGGGTACCTGGTATGATACGGTGGTAGTCTGAATTTGAACCTTGAGAGCCTGACAGGCGACCGGTTGTATTCTCCACATGGAGTGTTCTGTACTCGTTGACCAGGGTTAATATGTCAGCGCTTTGAGCATGCAATGTGCATGGATAAACGCACAATATAAATGGACTATTATTATTATTATTATAACCACACATGAATAAAGACATAACTTTGTGTATTGTGGGTGTAAATTAAAACAATATTTCATCACAATATAGTGTGGTTAAGACATCAATGTTGGCACACTTTTCCTTTTGATAATCGTTGACAGTTTTTCATATTGACAGTATTTATGATTATTGATCTTTTATAGCCTAAGTCTTAATTCACACAATAACAATATTTAGCCT